GGAGACAGTGTATAGGGCATATTCACAGTCTTCTCTGCTAAGACTTGACTTTCAGGTTCATGGCAAACATTGCAACCTCCAGTGCCAATAACATCTATAGATCATCATAACACTATTTAAAATAAAATATTTTACAGTGATGGCAGGGGGAGTGGTGGAACCCAAGGCACGACTGGTATTTTACAGTAACTCTGCCCCAAACCAAACTGAAAACTTCAGCCGTGGATGGGCCAGAATTAAAATGCATCAGCTTCTAGCAGCAGATAGCAAACTTATCTTTCCCATCTGCTCCATATCCTTTTCCTACAGATACCCTATGCCCATCAACCACTAAGACTGGCCTTCATGACCCGGCACAAGTTTTGATAGATATCCAACAGAGCCACACAACAGAGAGAGTAGAAAGTTAAGCATCATTGGCTGTATCCAAAAACCTTTTGCCATTTAGAGCAGTCTTATTGCACCTGTGTGGAGTGTCTTTCCTCTGTTCTCTAACTGATGAAGTGGTAATAGGAGCTAGTTTGCAGCCAGTGTTGTATGAGTGTTTATTACCTATATTAACTGACTTCCAAATATTGTCCAAGTGATAAACATAAAGCAATTTAAACAATTCATGGAGCATGAGCATTATTCCCCCCATCCTGGCAGGATGCCCTGGAAATGGTTTAGGAAAGCAAGAGGAGTGTAATCTGATGGATTCTCCTAACTTGTCCAGCTGAATAGATTTGAAACTCCCCCCCAACACCAACTGCTGGTGACAGATCCATCATCCCATTGTCTCTGAACACAAGTGTGCATGATGCAGCAATCAAGTTTATGGTTCTCCTTTTCCACACAGGCTTCCATCCTTTGGCTCCTGCCTTTGGCTTTCTGTTGTATTTGCACTGTAATTAGTATAGATAACCTGGGAAAAGACCATAAAAAAACATTGCATTTTTATAGCACTTATATAGACTGAGCAATGTGGAGGCCTTAACTAATTAATGCTGGCAACACTCATATAGAGCGGTTGGTTCCAAGTTATCACTGTAAAACTGAGGCAGAAAGCTGTTCTGACTTTGCAGACTGCCACATATTTACTTGGGGAGCCAGGAGTATCCCCTAGCAGGCCCCAGTCCCAGACCCTGCACTCACACCTCCAGAGTACACTGCCTCACTACCACTGAGCTCCTACATTGCTGCTTTATTGTCTCCCAGAGTCAAGGCTTTTTCCTGTTGCAATAAAGCAGATGAAAGTTTTATATTTCCATTAAAACACCTATAAAAACTGTAAGTAGCTGTGTTGGGGTACACTGTGCACTGATTAAGGCTTCCTTTTATCTCTGCAGTATATCTCACAGGGAAAGAGTCATCAGACCAGAGCACTACATAGTGCTCCAAAGCTAGTGCTGCGTCTGGGCTAGTCTGAAACAACGAGGTTTCCACCACCATCCCTGGAAATGATACCACAAACACAGCATCAAACAAGGGCTCATCCTCCAAAAAGAGGTGCAGCTGCAAATTTGCAATAGGTTACATGCCTCCCACTACCAGTCCAAATGCCACCTTCCTTTCCCCCTGCTGAAAAGCTCACAATTGCTTGAATGCTGCTTTTTGTAGGTTGCAGGTTTCCTTAATTGGCAGCACCCATCATTCCCAGCTGGGTGAAGGACAGCTTGATTAGTTGCTGGTCTCCCTCTCTGTTGCCTGGCTGCAGTTTTAAAAAAAAGGCAGGTCACTTCTTTCTCCTACTGAAATACTGCTTCAGCCTGAGCAAGCTTTTAGCTGACCACTTCAAGCTGCACTGGAGCTAGACGATGAAAAGATTACAGGTGCATCTGCTGCATGTCTAAAGGTCTGGTCTATTCATATAAATAGGTAAAACTCCACCATATTTTGTAGTAGGTCTCTGTGGGATGCTAGGACTGTCCCTGGTATCAGACTACCCATTCAGGAGAGACAAGAATTGCTGGCCTTCCACCTTGTGTTCCTTTTGCTTGCATCAAAAGTGCTCATTCTTGGAAGAGACAGCTACCATTGTAGTGTGGTTGGAACCACTACCTTGAGGGAATGGGAACTTCATTTCCCCTCCCAGCCAGCTCTGTGAATATGTGTACCCACACCACCCATTCCCTAAGGAAGCAGAGCCAAGCAGTCCAGTCCCCAGACAGTTAACTGTGTAAGCAGCAGACACGCTTCAGAACATTTCCTCTGGCTCCTAAGGGGCTGGAGCTCTCTGATAAAAGCTTACGTTCAAGCACAGTTAACTTCTCAGGCTAGCAACAGACATTCAAAGAGCCCCAGCCTGAACTGATTCAGTCTTTGCAGGTTAGTCTAACCTGCAGAGATGGAACCAATTTACAAGTGTAAAGACATCCACTTTTCATTCCAGAAATACAGGCATGTGCCTGCAGTGGCTCAGGCCAGAATCTCAGGGGTGCTAAAGCAGCCCTCCCTTCCCTTCCACAGGGAAGCTGAGCTTTGGTGGAGGAGGAGTGTGGCCAGGCCCCAGCAGGTCTGAATATGACCGAGGAAAGGTTTAAATCCTCACCTTGGGCTGCAGGGTTCAGAGAGTGGGGGAAGAGGAAGCATAGCCAGACTCCCCCATAGTGGGGGAGGGGGAGGAGGAGGAGGGGGAGAGCCCTGTCCATCACAGCAGCTCCCTGACAGCTGGGAGCAATCTGGGCACACAGCCCCACTGCCCAGCCCCAAAGGGGGACTCTTCCCCATCCTCCTCCTTCCTCTCCCCCACCACCATGGGGTAGGGAGGGGGCTTTCTGCTCTGTGCTCTAAGATACTAGAAGTACAAGAATGTTTCTGTATTGATTCTTGTAGCAGACCCTATGACTGCCCCCCCCAACCCCCCTCTGCAAAAAAATCCCCAAACCCAAGCACCTCCAGCAGAGTTCTGGGAAAACAATACACTGCTTTTTGGTTGGTCCCTCAGGAAGGGATGATGGCGGGTAGATGGATGTGAGGTCATACTGAAGAACCAGCAAGTGGAGAACATATTGCTGTAGATGAAAATAGTATTAAGTCAAAATACACCTGCTTCCCTTGGCAATCCCACTGGTCCAACTTCAATCTTCGGAAGCGAAAGGAGATCTTATCTCTGTGTTTTACATTAAAGAGACGAAGTGGGCCCGGTTCATGCCTGGAACAAGTCTCCTGGAGGCAATGGAGTTTTACCATTGCTGAATTTGACATTTGATGCCTATAAAAGATATGATATGGTGACTGACTCAAAATTTCAATTGTACTCTATTACCTGAGTGCATCAGGTCAATAAGGCATGTGTATTCTTCAGCTGGAAGGATTTTAGGATCGTTGGGTGCATCTACCTGTGCATTAATGTGCCTTTTGTAATGCGCATTAAATTAGTACCTCCAAGCACTTTTACACATGCTCCAGGGGTGGGGGTGCTTTAATTAGAGCAGCTCTGAGAACCATTCTAATTAAAGCACTGTAGCGTCTCATGTATCAGCGGATGAGTTTTAGTTCAAATGCCCCCCGCCACCATTTTGAAACATGGGGACATGAGAAGCTGGAGGCTACTGGAGCATGGTGATTACTATGTTCCAGCAGACTTGATTAATCGAGTCTTCTCTGACATGCTGCAATTACAGCGCATTGGAGCAGCCTCTGCATTTGTGTGCAGGCACCCTCCAATGTGAGGTACCAAACTAATGCATATTAGGCTGCGCTAATGCATGCTTTTTTAGTGATGGTTAATGCACAGTACACTATTTTACTGTGCATAAGTATAATGTCACAGTTCTTTATATGACACTTTATTGCACAGTAAAACAGTCTACTGTGCATTAAAGCACATGTGTAGGTGTATCCATAAGGTACAAAGGGACATCAAGGATCATCTTGTCCAATTCTCTGTGCAGGATTTGGTACATATTTATTTTGTCTTTTTACCAGGACTGGTTACTGAGAACTGAATGCAATCTTTCAAGATTAGTCTTTCAGAGTTGCACAGAGATGGAGCTTCACCTGTCTGGACTAAAGTACCTTCGAGGAAGTTACAATAAGAAGAGCTCCTCCAGGAATAAAAAGAAGTTGCAGTGAGTTTGTTCTAAAGGCAAAAGATTTGCCTTCAACTCCCCTTGATTTTCTGTGTGTTTGGTGCCTACATGTCCTGGTCCTTTCCCAATAAATACCCTGAGTTTAAATAATAAATGGGATGTGATTGAGTGCTATTGGGTACCCAGTTTAATTTACCATAAAATGGCAAACCAAATAAAAAAATGCTCTACATTGTATGTAGGACATTTTTCTGGCTGGCTTGTATGGTGCCTTAAAAAGAACATGTGGCACGTCTGGGGCCAGGGTTGATAATCAGCTGCAAGGCTGGTTGGAGACCCCCATGTGGTCCCAGGGACAGAAGTGACAATCAACTGATTGTTGGACCCGGCCTCAGTCCTGTGGGAACCTGGCTTTTAACTTGTCGATGCAAGGGTACCTGTCAATCATGATCTTGGACCCCCCTGGACTGGACATGTGGAAAGGACATGTTTGGGATCTGAACAATTCTGGGATCAGGGATCAGCTCCAACGGTGCCCTTAAATGAATGTGTGCCAAGGGCCTTCTGCTTTGTCCTTCATGGCAGCACCTTCCACCCACTTCAAAAAGAAGCACAAGCAACTGCTCATTTTCTTATTTTCCCTGAGCTATTTGCGTAAAGGTATTTTGATCTTCAAGACTTCTGCTGAAGTGAGTTTTCCATCCTCATCTTTGCCAAGGGCACTCTTACTCAGTTGCTTTTTAAAGCACCCCTTCCACACCAACCGTTCTGCAGACAGCACTGCTGTCAAACAGATTCAGAATACCACTGACCTCAGGAGTGAATTACATAGCCACTGAGGTATCAGCTGTGCTTTCGTAACCTAGGTTTGCAGGTGCAGATAGTTGAAAACTGCCTATTATCTCATCTTGCAACCCTATTTTGGAAATTACACATTTCTGATTCTCTCAAAATTGCTTAAGGTTTGTAAATAATGACTACAACAACTAAGATTTACAGGACTGTTGTTTATTAATTCAGCAGGTCAGTTCATTAATACATCTAGCCACAAAGGGATCCATATATCAATAGTTTTATTTTTTTAATTTGTAACAACTGTACTTATTGCAGGATCTCTAAATTACTACAGTGCCAAACAACCATCCAGATGGAAAGAAAAGCAATGAAAGGGTTGACAAATGCATACTGAAGGGGAAATCTGAAAATGAACTTTGAACAACTTGCAAGAGGTGGAAATTTGCTTTATTTCCACGATGACTTTATCATTATGGAAGGCACTTCAGTGCCACAGTCACTGGCTTCTTGTGGGAGAGAGACTGAGAGATGTAGTACTAACCCTGGACTAGGTTGTGCAAACTGCACAAAGTTCACATTAAAGGGAGTTGCCTGGCCCCAATGCTGTGTTTGGAGAGGGATCTCGCCCTGAGTTGTCCTGCACGTGGGAGGAGAGCACATATGCAAAGAGGGGAGCAGCACACAGCCCTGGTGCAGTGGTCCCACACTGCAGGCAGTGATGAGGAAGTGCCATGCCTCTGACCTCCTCTGTTTAAAAGCTGTGTATCGGGACCTAACCCTACAGGTGCTGGGTGCCTTCATTTCCTAAAGGTTTTAAGAGTAATTGATGGTCCTAGTCCCCTCCCAGGATCAGTCCTAACTAGGTCACTAATTAGTAATTGCTGAAAATCATAAGGGAAAAATCCAAGGCAATTTATTTAAGCAATAAAGTGTTGTTTAATTCATAGTTGATTGCTGCCCTCTTTATGTGTTTACAAAGATTTCCAGGCAGTAGCAATATTGAGTAAAGCTATTATTTGGGAACATAACACCCGACTAGTCAGCCTTGCACCCAGCAGCCATAAAATGACATTCAAGTGCACAAGGTCTATTCTTAGAATCTGAAAAGTAAATTAATCCGACTGGACTGTGACAGTTCAAATGTGGACATCTGTATGAAGTGGCACTGAGGCCTTGTGCTTTGATTTCAGTTGGAGCCGAATCCCAGCCCTTCTGAGAACCCACCTGTAACAGGCCCAGACTGCCCCCCTGGGGAGCTTCAAAGCCACTCACCCCCTATGCTGAGAAGTCTAGATGCAAAATGCTACTCTTAATGCTTTGTCCATATAGTGGGTGGTTATGCGCAGCCAGAAAGAAAGAGGGTGGTATTCAATAGGGAGCATCCCCAAAATGCACCTTGATGTTTGCATGCATTTTTATCTGAAACACAAGGAAGCCAGTTCTACACTCAGCCATGCCCACGGGTGACTTTGAACCTGTCCTACACTTCTCATCAGCTCATTTTGTCTGCTCTTCCAACTGTCTAGCACTGAGCGAGATGCCAAATGGTTAGAAATTCAGAAGACTCATGTAGTCTGACACTGCCTTCAATCGGGTTGGTATTTCAGGTTAGTGCCTAAACATGACAAACTTAGAAATGGTGGGCACTTACAGACAAATGCATAATTGTTGCTTCTTTCCTGGGGCTATTTGTACAGGGTTAAAATTAAAAGAAGATAAGGGAATTAAACAGAGGCGGAGGTGGCCTGGTATGTGGGTGGTGCGCTGTGTCTCCTCTCTTATGTCCAACTTCTTTATGCCTTTAAAGTAATATCTGCAGCAGTACAGTCACTTGTCCAACTGCTTCAGAATAATGTCGACTGCCTCAGCAAGGTTGTTCACATACCCATCTGGCGTCACTTCTGGGTGTTGCTCATCACAAGGCCTGCGGAGGAAAGAGAAGGGTAAGACTGGTAACAAGAGTAGTGATCACTTCAATAACAGGCATGTAAAATGAGAGAGGGATTTCACCCGGACATGAAGAGAAGAGCAGCTGTTTTGATTTTGTTCCAGTGCAACTACAGTTTAGTCTGGGAAGCCCCAGACATGAAACCTGTATCAGATTTCTACTGGCATGCATCAGGTCTGGGATTTGATGGATTTGCTTGTCTACTATTAGAGCTACAGTACAATCCACTTAATCACTCCCCTGCTAAATGCCATGTCTGCTTAATTGTTGTGATTACAGAGAAACAGCATAATTGCTCTGGCTCTCAGTGACTCTAGAGCACAGATAATGGCACAGCCAGTCCATCTAAATGTTATGTCTGATGGTGTCTTGCAAGCTTTCTCACAGTACTGAAAAGGTGAGAAGCAGTGTGTTTTTTCTCACACCCTTCTTGCTGTGCAGCCTCCTTCCATGCGGGTGGATAATTAAGCCAGCCCTAACGGAGTGTTTTTGAACATGTTTTACTGTTGCTATTAGAATTATTTATATTGTGGTAGCACCTCCAGGCCTCAACCAAGCTGTGGGGCCCATATGGCTGGTACAGTACAAACACGTAATAAGAGCTGGTCCCTGCCCTGAAGAAATGATGTGCTAAGCCCTTTAGATAGACAGAGTGGGGAGGAACCACTAAGGCAGAGAGACTTGCCTAAAATCATATAGCAGGCCAGTTTCAGAGGCAAGGCCCAAGCCCCTATTAGGTCTACCTGTCTGCTAACACATGTGACCAGACTGAGATGTCCAAGTACTTTGATGACACCAGCTCATGGATGAAGAACAGCAAGTGAAGCTGAACCAAAGCAAGACAGAAGTTATGCTGGCCCTGGGATTAAGAAAGCCCTATGAAGACATTGTCTCCTTTGGTTGGAGGTACACACTTCAATTGATTTATTCAGTCCAAAGCCTTTGGATTACTCTCTAAAACGAACTATATTCTCAAAAAGTATCTGTGAATGATACTTTTTCTACCTTCTTCAGTTGGCCAGGAAACTCCTTGCCATCCTGGCTGTCATGGGAAAAGGTTTAGCTAAGCACCTCTTTGTCTCCTCCCATGTGCACTATAGCAATGCAATGTACCTGGGCAGGAAAGCTTTTGCCCCCAGGACCTCCACGCGGTGCAGAATTCTGCTGCACACCTCCTCAGCAACACGGGCAACTATGAACAGATCCGATCTGAAGACTTCCTACACTGGTTTCTCACAAGATTAAGAACAAGTTCAAGGTCTCAGCCCTTATCTCCAAGATGCTCTATGATCTGTGCACTAAAAGCTCAACCGAAGCTTTAGAACATGGGCCATGGTAAACCAACCTGTCCCAAAGCCACAATACAACCTCCTACTACATGTGCAATGTTTGTATGTAGGGGTAAAACGGCTTTTTCCAGTTCCAGAACTCCCTAGGTACTAAGGACCATCACAACTCTTTGAAACCTCATTATCTTCTGCCTCAAATGCAAAGCACATTTCCTGGATCTGCCTTTTCCCTTAGAAACATGTATTTAAAAAGAATCCCCCAGATAAAATGCAAACTCATGACTGGAGCAAGGACTGGAGCCTGGCTCTTTCTGGGCAGTTCTGTTGCCTTTTGGACCTGCTCTTTGTGGCCTAACAACTATGTAAGTATTTGATACAAAATAAAACAGCTTCAATGGAAAGGACTGAGAGAAATCCATCTCAGAACAGCCTAGAGCCCAATGATTTGTGCACTGTCCTGGAAGCAGATTTGATTGATGCCCACAATTAAAGTAATTCACCAAATTAAATGCATCACATGTGGCATTGTTATTCAGGTGACAGTAATATCAGCAAAAGTATAAATATTTCACTGCAGGCCTACCACCCTATGAAATGGGATGAATAATTATTTTACTATGATTTTTATCAGAGAATAGCTAAAGAAAATAATTCAATTTTGACCTGGAAACCTGAATGGGCTCTTCTTAGGACCAGTTAAGGGTTTAACTTGGAGAACCATGTTAATATTATGCTTGTTGGGCTGAGCTGAGAAATGGAGAGCACATTTATATTTTATTCTCAGTGGCTTTCCTCTGGGACCCGTGGAAAGAGTTGAGAATCCTGTTGTCCACTTCCCTTTGTGCCAAGTTCCTCATTTTCTTCTGTAAAGGGCAAGACTTTGAGGGCTATATTTTCAACCAGGGAAGATGTATTTTCCATCAGATGTATAGTACCCATGGATACTATTATTATTTATGATTGGCAGAATTTCGCAGATACTCATCTGTACAAATACCAAATTATTTTTCAGTTTTGAGCTGAGGCTCCCTGTGACTATTTCCTTGTGGTTTATTTTTCTGAAGCACTCCTTGTTTCCGATTACATGAATTCCTCACAAAGGAACAGACTCCTTCAGTAGACTGTGCTGCTTGAGGTTTCATTTACCATGGGGTCAAATTGCGGTCTTTAGCTGAGTATCCAACTTCTGCCTTGTCAGTGTAATGGTGCAATAACAACAACAGATGATTATTCATTATGTTTTCCTCACCCAAATAAGCATTTCAGGTCATGGGACAGCAATTTATAAGATATAATAGAGCAGAACAAGCAAACTAGAAACATAAAACCAGTAAAAATGTAATAAACATTGCAGGTCTGATTCTGCAGTCCCAATACACCTACAGGGAAGTTGTCAGAGCAAAGAAATCTCTAATTTCATTTCATTGTATAGGATGCAAACGATACTTCATAGACTTCATAGACATTAGGGCTGGAAGGGACCTCGGAAGATCGAGTCCAGCCCCCCGCCCAAAGGGCAGGAAGTCAGCTGGGGTCACAGGATCCCAGCAAGATAAGCATCCAGTTTGCTCTTGAAGGTGTTCAATGTAGGCGCTTGAACCACCTCCGGTGGCAGGCTGTTCCAGACCTTGGGGGCTCGGACAGTAAAGAAATTCTTCCTTATGTCCAGCCTGAAACAATCTTGCAGTAGTTTATGACCATTTGACCTCGTCATCCCTTGGGGCGCTCTGGTGAACAAACGTTCCCCCAGATGCTGGTGGTCACCCCTGATAAACTTGTAGGTGGCCATCAGATCACCCCTGAGCCTGCGCTTTTCCAGGCTAAAGAGCCCCAGGGCTCTCAGCCTGTCATCGTAGGGTCTGCTTCCCTGACCTCTGATCATGCGCGTGGCTCTTCTCTGGACTCTCTCAAGCTTCTCCACATCCTTTTTGAATTGTGGAGCCCAAAACTGGACACAGTACTCCAGCTCCGGCCTCACTAAGGCCGAGTACAGGGGGAGAATGACGTCCCGGGATTTGCTTGAGAAGCATCTATGGATGAAAGCCAGCGTTTTGGTCGCTTTACTAGCCGCCGCATCGCATTGCAGGCTCATGTTCATCTTGTGGTCAACGATG